GTTCGATTGGAATTTTGATCGAACGATAATAGTTATGAAATTTTTATTCAAGCCACTAAACTTTATTGTACTTAAATCTCTTCGCGATATGTGATGAATTCATATATTCAGAATCAACTTGTCGATATTATGAGGCATCTTCAAGTAAATAATTGATCAATGATACCTCCCAGTAAAGACGGCGATCCTTAAAAATCTTAGCTTTTCTACGATTCATTAGGATCTATTGGATTCATTGACATCATAATTTAGATACCTACGATTATATACCATAATGTTTCCCTAAGCACGGTAAAAAACTATCAAAAACCTACTTCAATGGGTAGAATCACTATTCGATGTTTGAATAGTCCTTAATTAAAACGGGTATTGCTTAGCATCGTTCCCAAGTTTTGAAGTTGGCGGCCGAATCTCCCCGCTGGAAATGGTTCACCACCCGCCCGCCGAGAGCGGTACCTTTTTAGCTCGTATCCCCGGGTGTGAAACAACAACAACATTGGACCATTATTCTATGTCTGGACCGTGTTAAACAAATGCGCTTTTGTGTAATTAGTAGTCATTAAATCAATCATGTTCGTGCAGTATTATTATATTTGTGTTAATTACCTCGTAGAAAGGAACCGCGAAAGATGGGATCTGTAAGAGTACCAAGCTCATTAACAACAAATATATTGGTTTCTAATAAAGATCTAAGTGCCAGTTCTAGTGCTAGCTTCGATGATTCATAGTATGTAAGTACCTATTTAGTCGTATAAGTTTGCTTGGTGTATACCTACGGAGTATTTTTGGAGATAGTACATGTTGCATTATTTGATGCATTTGAAATATTAGGTTTCACCTGACTCAAAGCGCTTGCTGCTAATACCCAGGAGCGTTCCGACTCATTTATCAGAGAATTCACCGTGTGCAATTGGCCCCTCTTCAATTATGAGAATAGTCCAAAGATCTTTTAGGAACTTAAGTTAATAACCCAGGTGGTGCTTCTGTGCAAACTTTCAAAGAATTAAAGGCATTTTTTCAAAATCTTCAGTCCGTCAAAGTGAGCTCTTCGTGTGATTTTACGGAACAAAGTGCCCTCGCTGTATGACCCGTATCCCTTGAATTTTTAGTTTAGTCCAAAGATCTTTCAGGAACTTAAATTAATGACCCAGGTAATGTGCTTGATGGCCACTTTTAAAGAATTAAAGGCATTTTTCATAATTCACAGTCCTTCAAAATGAGCGTTCCGTGTGATTTTGCTAAGAATCGATCATGGCCTCTATCCCCCCCCCCCCCCAATTTCAGTGTACCCCAAAATCGTTCAATGTGCATAAGGAAGCCATGGATACGGTCTTCTCTGCAAATTTTGAATGAAATTGAACAGATAGACTCTGAGATAACGCTGTACACAGATTTGGGAGACGTCTGACGGACGGACACACATTTTTCAAGTATGGTTATTTCGACTCCTGGGGCCTTAAAACGTTCAGAAATGATGAAATTTCAATTTTTTTTCTTTTCCTTGGAGGATGACAATACTTCCTCTACCCTTGGGGAACGAGAAAGTAAAAAACCTGAATATTACATATTTCAATACATAGGCGCCAGTGACGATGCAGAATCATCACTCAGCAGCGGCGTGGGGCGCGAAATACCCACGGTTTCTTGTTTGTTCGTTTATTTTTGGCCCGAAAGCAGGCTGATCGTGACTTTGAACAGTATACTTAGAAGCAATAATGTTTGTTTTGACGTTGCAAACCTAAAACTTTTACTTCGAACCCCTTAAAATTGGTAACGAACTCTAATTTACTCGCTTAAGCAACTATTCAAGGACTGGACTTTAAGGGAAAAAATTGATAACCAGCTGATTTTTTGTATAGAGGGTCCTTCCGGCCCCCTGAGTCCCCCCCCCCTCAATCAAGGAAAGTCCTCATTGATAGCGAGACGGCTTTTCAATTTGAAGAGGGAGGGGGGTTAACTACCCCAAAATCGGCTTATCCGGCCAGAACACAAGAACGGTTGCTCGTATCACTACGAAAAGCACCAGGGTCATTCCACGCCTAGGTAGTCCGGGGGATATTTTTTTACCCCCCTCCGAATGACCCAACGATATTTATTTTTGGACTCCTTAAAACTCCTAGTTTTTAGAAATAAATGGGGTTTACCTCCGTTTAGTTTTTTTTCTCGCAATTTTTACGTGTTTTGTAACCCCGTTGCTTAGCTTCATCCTACTGTAAAAAGAGTGACAGTTTGGTAGCAATGTTTTCTGGCGCTCCCGCCAAAAGCAATTTTCAGGTTATGTTTGCAGTTGTCAAGAAGCTGATTCAATGTGCTCCTGCAAAGTTTCAATTTGTGAAAGTAATTACTGTATATTATATGTAACTTTTAAAACTTAGTGTACTGACTGTCACACCCGTTACGCAAAACATGAGTTTTTTAGTGTAACTATTTTAATTCATGTCATTTTGAGATGCCAATTTTTTCCATACGTATTCAAGTCAAGTACAGCTTCGGAGTATTTTTTCCAAATTTTTATTTCAACAATTGATGGGCAAAAATGCGTAACGGGTGTGACACGTTACGGGTGTGACCAATGAGAAAAGAGGCTTCAATTATGCAGATGTTGCCTCACTTCTCACCATCTTTTCTATGGTAATCACAAGAAATACGAATCTTTCCGGCGGGCGACTTGGACGGTTAACCGTTGGAATTCGGCGGTTTATTCCGAATCTCCACCGCGGCGGTGCATGTTCGGGGATCGAGCACCTCAACGTTTTCATGTAAACAACTAAGATGGCGGCGCATATTGCGCGGGTGTTTTGAATTTACGGATCGCGGGCAAGATCCACACCTTGAGCGGACTTGAAGCAACCACGTACTTAATTAACATTTACATTTAAATGTTTTTTCAAGTTAATATTAATTCCTGATAGTCGAATGAAGGAAGTTTTCTCCCGTTAGGACAAAAGCTGCAATGTCGCCGTTTATCATTGCATTATAGGAGAGAAAAAGTAGCAGCCAGAAGTATGAGTCATGAGCGACCATCCTCAACATCCATTCCTTCTTTTCAGAGATTTTTTGTCATCACTTATCAGAGATGCAAAATGAAATTTAACATGATATGAAAGTTCACAGATTTCTGAGGAGGAGTATACACTACCCGTAAAATTATCTTAAAATAAAATTAAGAGTTTGACTCTCATTTTGTTAAATATTGAGATTTTACTGATTCTACGCATTCCACGGCCTACTGAGCCTATTGCGGAAGTTCCACTTTCATGAAATTTTACCTTATATGAAATTGCATGCAATTTTGCATCTCTGTTCATTATGGAGCCCATTCAGCAGGCTATCAAGACTGAGGCTGCTTTAAAAATGTAAATGGTGCAAGCAAGAAAGATGTTGGGCCTCTAGGAGGAACATATTTTTTCAAATTAAAATTTATCACAAGGGTGAAAATTCTCACACATCAGGCAAATAGGGATTGTCCCCTCCCCCTTATTCAGTGAGAGTACTAAAATTTTTCTGGGACAATTTTGGTCAATTTCACACTCTCACACACTCTCCTGAGAGGAAAGGCGATTAAATTAGAGTTTATTACCAATTTTAAGGGGTTCGAAGTAAAAGTTTTAGGCTCGTATCGTCAAAACAAACATTATTACTCCTAAGTATACTATGCAAAGTCACGATAAAAAATTATATGATGCCTGTGATTGCTGCCAAATGCCTTTAAAAGTTGCGATCAAAACGCTAAAAAGACGCGTCTCAAAAATTTTTGGCGCAACAAAAAACGCGTTGTGGCAGCACTGAAAATTATCCGATTTCGCTCAAATTCGGGGATATTAAACGTGTAACATAATGACACAATAAAACCATCGAACATCGCTGATCCGAGACATGGTTTTGGATTATTCAAATGTGGGACACCCTAAGGGTCACTCTGAATTTTGATCGGTCCATGCGGGTCTGCCTCACTCAGCGATGCACAGATGGCCTGAAGATGAATGTTTCTTTCGGTAAATGTCTACTAGCTTGATGTCACAAAACTGACTTGTCACTGGCCTCTCCATTCTCTTAGGCAACGGTTTAATTTCAACATAATCAGAGATGGTCAAGTCGGGGACCTATATGTTTCGACGTGGAATGACCGGACCTCAACCATAAAGAAGTCATGTTTATCATCTAAGTAAGACTTTCTGATCAGAAATAAAAAGTAAAAATATTTCTCTTCGGGGCTTACTTTAAATATCGAACAAAATTAGAACTAGCCATGTGAAGTAAACGAATGCATCCAGGTGACTGTTACTGATGCGGCAGTTCGGAGAACCTATCAGAAAGACAATGGCAATGGCGTCCCAGAAAAATAGATTTGTCGATCCTCTTACAATAGCCTCATCAAGTTCTGACATTATTTTAGTGTGTAAGTCAGTTGCTGACTGGTTTATGACCCTGTGTTCGGACCTTGGCAACAAGCCGGCAGTTCAACTAATTGCGGCTGCCGCCAGCGGAAGGAGGGGAGGAGGCTGCTTGACAAAACTGGGGTCTGAGGAAGCAAAACACAAAGAGCAGCAGGAGGTAAATAATTGAGAAGTGGACGGATTAGTGTGAGAACTGAGAATTGAAAGGGCTGGGTGTGGAATGGCAAGACAGGAAAAAATACCAGGGGATGAATTAGATTCTAGAGAGAGTCAAGGAGAAGGTTCAATAAAGAAACAGTAGGTCTGACAGAGAGCACAAATGCTGCACAGTGGGGACGATTCACTTATAAAAAAGACCACCACAAGGTATTTACTCAGTTATGCATGGGCACATATTGTATAGTGTGTTTCTTCTAGGTATCGCAAGCGGGGGTGGGGGGGGGACCAATTACTTAAGAAATAAGCTTTTTCCCTGTTCCGAACATGGCTTCTGGACATAGGTAATCTACAGTAAAAGTAGAATTATGCACTTTCTTTGTAGGTAACTAAATCGTTCCATATTTATGTATCACATTTTTTACTGGTTTTTTTCTCCTCTCTCAGATTGAGGATGCAACAGGCAAGAGTTTTGAGACACCTTATCCAGACACTCCTGTCATGAGTGAATCAATCAGTGAATCGGCTCTAAATTACAAAATATCTATAGAAGATGATGGTCCAGGTTTCACAATACAGAGGAAATCCAATGGACAAATTTTGTAAGTTTATGTAAGTAGTTAATTCTATAATTAAGGCGATAGTAGGACATGGAGCCTGAAACAAAACTGTATCATCCATTAGAGGTCTTTTTAATAAAAGCCATCTGTTAAGCGTAAGAATTGCAGGGTTGGAAGCAGTGTTTGAAACTCACCTTTGAGTTTCAGGAGCCATATGGCCCATCAAGCTCGACTTTTAGGGGTCATTGAACATATTTTAGGGGCCAAATTGACTTTTTGCTCGTATATTAGGGCGCATTTAGTGAAAAGTTAGACTTAGGATGTTTCAGTTACAGAACTATTAGCTGTAACTTTTAACTTTCGAAAAATAAACAGAAAATTTAAGGTTTTCTCTTGGTGTGGGGGGGGGGGCTCAATTTTTAGGGGCCACGTTGGCGCAGAACCTGCATTTTTTAGGCGCCATGACGGATGTTTTATGCGCATTTGGCGCGTTGGCGCCTGTGAGTTTCAGACACTGGTTGCAAGGAGTAGGGAAAACCTGGAAAGTTAGGGAAAAGTCAGGAACTTTTGCAATGGGTCAGGGGAATTCTCAGGGTTGCGGCTTAACATTTAAAGCCAATGTATAATTGTATAAGTAAGTGCTGCACTCTAGTGACACCCTGTCGAAGCTCACAGTAACGAATCTCGCATAGCACGAACACTCTATGTCACTCCATGTACTATGTAGAATGCCTCGTGTATGTGAATGCCTTTCAGTTTGTTTCAATATGGTAAGTGCTACAGTTTTCTCATCATCCTAGTGTCCGTCATTGCCCTAGCATCCTCACAAATCAAATAGCTCCACTGTGCTGGCACTGCATGTCAGCGTTGCCGAGTTTTTGGTACTTCTTTACTGCAAAGCAAGTGTCATGACTATTGAATCCACGATTTGTGTGCCAGTTCAACTTGAAAGGATCTAATTGTTTACACCTATCTGCTCTTGATTAATTTTCATGTGTCTTTTCCTCTAAATATTTTTATTCAGGTTCGGAATAATTAACAATATTTTCAGGCGGCGTATAAATGCCTTATTCAGGTTTTTTACAAGTTTCAACCTCATGCATACAATTGCAATGCTTCAAAGTTTGCATTGCTGTTTTTGCGGATTAATTTACCTTTCACTTTATTTTATTGTAAGAAGTCAGGGAATTTCAGTGCCTGTGGTTAGGAAATTTTTCCAATAAGTCAGAGAATTTTGAAATTAAATCTAACTTGCAACCCTGAATTGGGTTTAATTTAGCTGTATGAATACTGGGTTTAGGATGATTCCACACCAAAAGCCCTGCAGGCTGATTAATGGAATTGATAGATGGAGGGAGAATGGTAGGATCCATTTGGTTGAAATGGGTGATTCCCATTGATGGAGGGAAAAAATGATGGATCAACTTTGGGGTTTCTCGTAGGTTGCTGTTAGTCCAATACCTCCTTGCCTATTGTATCCATTGTAACCACCTGCTCCCACCAATGGGATTTCTCCATTTTCCTCCTATCAGCTTTGTCTATCAATTTCAATAATCAGTCCGCTGCCAACTAGAATATAAAAATTTACATAGTTGCTTTGGTGACCTCAAAAAGATAGACTGTTTTCCCATCCACTGCCTTGCGGATATGACCCAAATGCCAAATTTGACTTCATTTTGCTGTATAGAACCCATTATTTCTGGCTCATCTTAGAAATTACGTATGAGGACTTACCCGTAACCATAGCGGTCGCTGACATCCGCCATTTGTAGGGCAAACGCTTTTTTCGAATTCTGAAGCCCTCAAGAATGCCTGTGCGAAGTTTCAGACTTCAAGCGCAATTTTTCGGGGAGATATGAACTAAAAACCATGTTATTTGTAAAAACCGCGGATGTGAGAATCCACTGTTCTCCCCCGCCGGCGCGGCAAAACACTATGGAGATTCGAACCCACTTGCGATAACTGCCCGAGCACCGACTCTGGGCTATAGCTGAAACTCAAATTATACGTATCTGGACCGTCTTGCCAGAATTGTTGATTTTTTAACTGATTTTATAATTTGTTCCTTATTTTTGTTGGAGAAGTTACAATCGGTCTAGTTTTTTGTTCAAATTTATTAAATGACTCAGCATTGATTTACTTTTGGCTCATTTCAATTGTTTAACCAGCCTTACCCTTCCTGAAAACTTTGTTTCATGCATAAAAAAATGTTTTCAGTCAATACAGCGGATGTCAAATTTTTTCAAATCGCTGTTACTGCTTCAATTTTTCACTTACACAGATCGCAAAAAGTGTGTTCTTTACAGAAAGGGTTGCTCTTCATGAAAATCTTTATAAGAATCCTCTCGGGTCTACGGGTGGCAAAGTGCAAAGCTTCAAAAACTTCAAACGCGATTTTCTCACAATGTAAAAACTAGACATCCGCTATTGTTACATATAAGTCCTCATATGTGCCATTAATTCCCTTACGTAGATTGGTGCCTTTATGAATGATTTAGAAATAATAACTCTTTATCATAAATTGTAGTCAAATTCAGCCTTAAGTGGTCTTTGCGAGTGTTCCATGTTTCTGGCAACACTCCGGTTAGGGAGTGCCGGAATCTATCAATTTGCATGGGCCTCTACGTAACATACAGCACCTGTCCTTCACAATTGCACACTACATTCTTTTGAAATCTCTCAAAGTAAATATGCCTAGTTTTCTGAATGCAATGCAATTAAACTTTCACTGCAGTTGTTTATTGCTCATAAACAAACAGGTGAACGTCTGTTTGGTTTTTAGCTCATAGCTCATTATACTCATGAAATTGATGAGTTGCAGGTCTTAGGGGGAAAATTTCATTTCAAAGCAATTTTTCACTGTTTTTTGAAGCGTTAAGCCGCAAATCATGAATCAAGATCATCAAAATAGAGAAACTACAGTGGTGTACCCTAGGGTGCATCAAAAAAAATGAAAGTCTGAAATGTTACGCTCCCCAGGCGGCAACCGATGACGTTTGGTAAAAAAACATGTTTGCCAAAATTTGGGCCAATTTCAACCATTTCAAATGGTGCCAAAGGTCAATTTTGTCATGAAATTATGATATTTTGGTTGAGACCTCGCTTTCGTACAAAAAACTCGATTTTACGCTGAAATCGTGCGTTTACGAGAAAAATGCCAAAGAACTCAAGTTGTAGGGGATGAAATTTTACTCTAGGAAGACGTCTTTGTAAACGATAAAAATCAAATTGAACTAGAAAAACTCAACTCGGTATTTATTTTTTTTGGTCCTCAGAATTTCCGAGGTCTTACAAAGTAGCGGTTTAAAAGACTAATTTTTCACGAAAATAAGTCGAAAGAGGGTATAAATGAACTGTAGGCAAGTGTCAAGGATGCAAATGTCATCAGAACTTCCTCAGCCTCAAAAAAAGTTCCAACTAATTTGCACAATCCTCCAAAAAGTGTACGGCTCGAGAAGCAGGATCGTGCTATAATAGTAAGGGAGAAGTGCGGTTTGACCGGGAAAAATTGCGTAACAAACTTTCCCTATGTAATCGTCATCAGTAGGTCCCCCTGAACAACTTCCTAAAAGTTAGAAATGGTCCGACCCCGGAATACTCCTCAAAGTACCTAAAATTCAAAATGGCGGCCGTAATAAAGGGGTCCGACAAATCGGTATTTTAAAATGTTCATTCCGTGTCACGTGAGGTATCATTTCCTATGTTGGTCGTAGATTTCATAAATGAATTCCACAGGGCCCCCCAGTCAAAGGGGGCGCTCCGAATCAAAGATCGCGGCCAAATGTGAAAGGCAGGAGGTTGCATTTTTTTTAAATATTCACCGAAGAAAGAAGGAAAGTGAAGTGTCTGTATTTTCATGTATTATGGCCAAGAAACCTACATTTGATGTTATAAATGTATTTAATAAGGGAAATTAAAAGAGACATACGACTACGGAGAGAAATGTAAGCTCAGAAGCATGTTTGCACTTTTATGAGTTAATGTTTTAATGTGCCAACAGATATACTCTCTTCCAATTCTCGTGTGTGTTCTCCGTTCTTCAGCAATCCCTGCACAAATGATTTATTGTGTTTTCTTCCATTCATTTCTTATTACTGGACACATCATAACTTAATCTTGGATTTGGGGCGCTGCTCTTGATCGGGGGGGGGGGGTTCCATACCTTCATTTATGAAGTTTACAACTAAATTTACAAAGAAATGGAGACCCCTCGTGCTTGCCTTCTTTCTTCGGTGAATATTTAAAAAAATGCAACCTCCTGCCTTTCACATTTGGCCGCGATCTTTGATTCGGAGCGCCCCCTTTGACTGGGGGGCCTTGTGGAATTCATTTATGAAATCTACGACCAACATAGGAAATGATACCTCACGTGACACGGAATGAACATTTTAAAATACCGATTTGTCGGACCCCTTTATTACGGCCGCCATTTTGAATTTAAGGTACTTTGAGGAGTATTCCGGGGTCGGGCCATTTCTAACTTTTAGGAAGTTGTTCAGGGGGACCTACTGATGACGATTACATTGGGAAAGTTTGTTACGCAATTTTTCCCGGTCAAACCGCACTTCTCCCTTACTATTATAGCACGATCCTGCTTCTCGAGCCGTACACTTTTTGGAGGATTGTGCAAATTAGTTGGAACTTTTTTTGAGGCTGAGGAAGTTCTGATGACATTTGCATCCTTGACACTTGCCTACAGTTCATTTATACCCTCTTTCGACTTATTTTCGTGAAAAATTAGTCTTTTAAACCGCTACTTTGTAAGACCTCGGAAATTCTGAGGACCAAAAAAATAAATACCGAGTTGAGTTTTTCTAGTTCAATTTGATTTTTATCGTTTACAAAGACGTCTTCCTAGAGTAAAATTTCATCCCCTACAACTTGAGTTCTTTGGCATTTTTCTCGTAAACGCACGATTTCAGCGTAAAATCGAGTTTGTTGTACGAAATCGAGGTCTCAACCAAAATATCATAATTTCATGACAAAATTGACCTTTGGCACCATTTGAAATGGTTGAAAGTGGCCCAAATTTTGGCAAACATGTTTTTTTACCAAACGTCATCGGTTGCCGCCTGGGGAGCGGAACATTTCAGACTTTCATTTTTTTTGACGCACCCTAGGTGTACCCGTTACGGTCCCATTGCTGCTGTATTTTAGGCAGCATACATGGTAATCTGCCATCAGGATGAGACTCATTCCTCAGCACTGCTAAATTACCATTACTTGCATCATGGAGGGTTTGGAAAATTCTACCTCTTACTAACTCCTAATATTTTTCTGCAAATGAAAGCTATCTCTTTAATATTTTCCCAAAAGTTTCTTGATTCTCTGATGTATTAATTCAGATTTCAATTGATCAGTGACAATTTATCCATGTATTTTTATCCTCTACTTTTTAACAGAACCATATAGACGTACCAGTTAATCTCTCGCATTCATTAAACAGATAACAACTCTGCATGGCACATTATCTCTGCTTCTTATCTTATGCAGGGTATATTTGTGTTGGTTTCCTCATGAAGAGAAAACAGATGTCCTTGAATTTATCTTCCTACACTTGCTTGGGTTTTGTTCCATAAGTGTTGCCACATTTAATTCATAAAGTACAATGAAAGGTTCTAATGAGCATCTAATTGTAAGCTGAGTATACGCAAACCCATTGCACAATACACATAGCTCGTTCCAAAATAAAGTAGATTGATGCTGCTGTTTCCGAACCAATTAAGCCCAATACATGATCATGTGACAATCACATTTTAAAGATCAGATCCTAACCTTTCGGTTTATGCCAAGATTATACTAAATTACCCACAACAATCATGGTGGAGGATCTAATACATCTGCCTACGAGCTTTTTACAGAAGTAAATTGTCAGGTGTCAAAATAACACATTTCTTCAGTTATTCTTAAGGTATTTTACATTTCTCCTGAAGCTAATTTCTCTTCAATGATGTCAATTTTGAGACAAAGCTTTGTTGTTACTCCTATAAATCATATTGAAAATATCCTTGGCAGGAAACTTGACTTCCCTCTTTCGTTAAATTCCCATACTGCATACTATGCAGCTCTTTTAAAGATCAAATATAAGTGTTTTAACAATATTCTTGTCTTATTTTTTTCTTGAATGCAAAATATTTGATCAAAAAAAAAAAAAAAAATTAAAAAAAAAACTTGCCCAAGTTACTATAAACTGGTGTTCCTTCCTAAAGCACTGAAGAATCACAATTTTATACTGGGTCAGCCTGAATTGTCAAACATTTTCTGGTCAATATGTTTCTGGAAGCCATTGTTCAACAACCATACAATCTTGCTGCATAAAATTTTCAAGTTTCATTTTTTTCCCTAACAGTACATTGGGTGTGATGACACTAAAACCAAACAGTTATTCGTTGAATGCATGATGACTCCTCACTTTTGTGGTTTATCAATTTTTAAGCAAATGAGATGATCCCACACAGTGCTCCTAAAAGGGGCTTAAATCGAAATTGGTCGTGACTTAAACATTTGAGCTGGAATATCAAGAGGAGCACTACCAGATACTTTAAACTACAATTTCGAAATCGGTTGTTGGAGCTCCCGGAGAAATAATCGCGATTTTATGGTTTTTTAGGCTTTTTTCGGAAAATAGGCTCATGTAGGGCAACTAAATTCCCCATCTGCCCCAGTTCTTCTTGGATTGATCTGAATTTTGAGTATGTTATTCTCTGGTATGACATACGACTTTACTGACATTTTCATGACCGAGAAATTTTTTTTGCTCCCATTACAACGTAACAAAGTTTCAAACTTCAAAATTATGGATTTTGCAAAAAAAACTTATGACACTGGCTGATTGGATCGGTCTGAATTTTTAGTAAGTTATTCTCCGATATGAGATAAAAATTTCCTGATATATTCATGGCCGGAAAATATTTTTTCCTCTCGTTGCAACGTTGCCAAGTTTTCAACTTGAAAATTTTGGGTTTGGAGGTAACTCGATGGCATGGGCCCATGTCTCAATGAATTGATCTGAATTTATAGTATGTTGTCCTCCCGTATGAATAGCAAATTCCCTGAAATTATAAGACCGAAAAATTTTTTACCCCCGTTTCGACGTTGCCAAGCTTCGAACTTTAAAATTATGGATTTGACCATAAAATGATGGCGTTTGGTCGGGATGCCTTGCAGAATTTTCTTTATTTGTGAGTAATTTTACGAAATTTTTTAGTAAATTGTCCCTTGGAAACTGTAATATTGCCTTCTTGCCGTTTTACTACTTTTATTCCAAATGAATGTACCTATACTGCATCTTGCTGCAAGTGCAAATGCTAGTTCTCTTCGTTGGCATCAGCAGCGTTCATTCAAATATAATATGATATGCTATCAGTTTGTGTACATGCATGGAAAAAAATTACATATGTCTTCATTCCATTTTTGAATTAGTGGGTTTTAGTTTTTTATGAAAAGAAATTGCTGGGGTTTTTCATTCATGGGGTTATTCTTGGGGAATAAAAGTAGTAAAACGGCAACAAGGCAATATTACAGTTTCAAAGGGACAATTTACTAAAAAATTTCGTAAAATTACTCACAAATAAAGAAAATTCTGCAAGGTATCCCGACCAAACGCCATCATTTTATGGTCAAATCCATAATTTTAAAGTTCGAAGCTTGGCAACGTCGAAACCGGGGTAAAAATTTTTTCGGTCTTATAATTTCAGGGAATTTGCTATTCATATGGGAGGACAACATACTATAAATTCAGATCAATTCATTAAGACATGGGCCCATGCCATCGAGTTACCTCCAAACCCAAAATTTTCAAGTTGAAAACTTGGCAACGTTGCAACGAGAGGAAAAAATATTTTCCGGCCATGAACATATCAGGAAATTTTTATCTCATATCGGAGAATAACTTACTAAAAATTCAGACCGATCCAATCAGCCAGTGTCACAAGTTTTTTTTGCAAAATCCATAATTTTGAAGTTTGAAACTTTGCAACGTTGTAACGGGAGCAAAAAAAATTTCTCGGTCATGAAAATGTAAGTAAAGTCGTATGTCATACCAGAGAATAACATACTCAAAATTCAGATCAATCTAAGAAGAACTGGGGCAGATGGGGAATTTAGTTGCCCTACATGAGCCTATTTTCCGAAAAAAGCCTAAAAAACCATAAAATCGCGATTATTTCGCCGGGAGCTCCAACAACCGATTTCGAAATTGTGGTTTAAAGTATCTGGTAGTGCTCCTCTTGATATTCCAGCTCAAATGTTTAAGTCACGACCAACTTCGATTTAAGCCCCTTTCAGGAGCACTGTGCCCAGTTTTGATCAGTGGCATAAGATCTGATTTTTAAAATGAAACCAAGATGATGTCTCTAGCACTAAGAGGTCTGAAATGGTAGTATCATTCTATTTCTTTTCTGAGACAAGATTTAAGGAAAATGAAGCTAATATCATTGTTCTCCAAGGGTTTACATACATATTTGTTTGTATGGATGAGTGCTCCAGACTCTGATTGAAGTTAAATATAAACTCAAGAGCCTTCATTTTGTAATATGATTTGACAGGTTTGACACGAGATCAGGAGGATTCATATTTTCCAAACAATTCATTCAAATTTCATCGAAACTACTATCAAATAACATTTATGGACTTGGCGAACATAGGAATAACTTCATGTTGGATACAAATTGGAACCGCATTACTCTCTTTGCTCACGATTCTCCTCCTCTTGATGGGGTAAGTTTTGTGTTATTTCCTCAGTTAATTATTAGAACGAAGTGCATGCAAATTTATCAATCAGAAATGATTCCCCTCAAGAATTAGGGATCACCACCTGCTGTACTTACTCTCTTGATGTCAGTTCTGATGTCAGTGCTTTGCAGAAAGAAAAAGAAGGTGGTCGCTTTTCAGGCATCTTAGATTTCGTCGAAGGTAGGCACAGAAGCTTTTTGTCATTGATTCTCCCTTGAAAATGGTGTAGTTCATCCCACAAAAAACCCTTGGGAGGGTGCCGTTCGAACGGCAATAAACTAGAGAAGTTAACTGTCCCGATTTTACAGATAAACATATATGATATGAGAAATCGGGACGGCAATTAATTTAGGGTTTGTCTCATGCTGGCAGTCCAGCCGTTTTTCTTCCCGCAGAGGTTGCTCCGGTTTTTGCTTTGACATTAAAGTGATATCATCAGATCGCAACAGCAAATCAGTGAAGCTTGGAAAAATAGGAATAAATAAAAAACAGAAAAAACAGAAAAAAAAGAAAAATTACCGTCATGCCGGAGAAATGTTTGATATATCACTTAGCATTGGGTACTATTTCTATGATGGGTACTTATTGAGATCTGCTTTTGATTTAGCAGAAGTCAAAATATTTATAATTCATAAAATTGCAGGAGTTGTTCCTTTCTGCGGCATGATGCCAATTCTTTTATTTTTTCCTATTTTTCCAAGCCTCACTGATTTGCTGTTCCGATCTGATGATGTCACTTTAATATCAAAGCAAAAACCGGAGCAACCTCTGAGGGGAAGAAAAACGGCTGGACTGCCAGCATGAGACAAACCTTACATTTTTTGCCGTCCCGATTTCTCATATAATATGTGTTAATATATAAAATCTGGACAGGTAACTTGTTGCTCAAGGCAAACAATTTCGGGAAAAGTTAAAAAAACGAAATTTAAACGGTCTTTAATCACCTTTAATTTCGTTTTTTTAACTTTTCCCGAAATTCGGGGACTTTCCAACGTAATGTAGAACTGATTTTGACCTTGCTGAGATAATGTGGAGGCAAATCCAGAGGAAATTGGCTTATTTCGCAGGAAAATTGAATGACCTTTGAATTGACGTATTTGGGGGTCCGAGCCCCCCCTTAAAATTAAATCGAAGTGATTTCTGCAATTTTTACGTAAAAGCAAACACAATTTGGTAAATTTTCCCGTTTTATTTTCTTTACGATAATTTGAACCGGAGTTATGATTTTTTGAAAATAGGTCAAATTTGACCTTTGACCTACCATAACTCGGTCAAAAATTGAGATATTGATCTGCGGTTTGCGCCCAAATTCTTAGTTTTTTATGCTCTTTCGAATGAGGTATCACAAGATAGGGGTTGCTATTTGAAAAAAAAAGTTGGGGGGCCCCTGTCCCCCCCTGAGGGGGGGTCCAAATTTTCGACCCCCCAAAAGATGGTCCCCTTTGAGATAGGAACATTCCCAAAGTTTCATTTCCTTAGCTCAATTCGTTCAAAAGTTAGAGGGGGGGTCGGGGACTTTTCGCTCACCCTGTATAACTTCCCTTCAACGGAGCCGTGATGATTCGAGAAGCAATTGCCGCAGCGCTCGCGTCGCCGTAGTGAGGTGTTCCTAAACAAAACATACTGAAGCAAACCTTGAGTTTCTTAAGATAGCTTCAGGTTTGCCAGGATTTACTCAAGGTAGGTTGAGGTATCACCACGATTTTCTCAAGGTCTTTGAGGTTTACCTTGTAGAAATTAGCATACCCAAAGTACAAGCTATGGTGAAGAAATCATGGCAAACCTCAGGCTGCCCTAAGATAGTTAAGGTTCGCATCCAGTACATTTTGGCGCGTATACGTAGTATACCGCCTTTGCGATCGTTTCGACCCCCCACTCGATACAATAACCGAGTCCCTTAGTTCCTTACCGAAAAGTGACTACCGCGAACTTCTGAGATTTTCCAAAGCGTGTAAAAAGTTTATTTATCCGTCAATAATTATGATTTAAAGTTGTTTCTCATTCTGGGGCTTTCTAGTTTATGTGCAGTGAATACTAAGAGTCTACGTTACTTGGTTTTTTTAAAAAAAACCTAAGAATACGCAGCGCTGATTTAAAATATGCATCTATAAGCAGAAGCAAGCGAACTGATTCGAGGATGGCTGACCAGTTGGGCACTCTTTGAATGAGAATTACACTCCTTCGTTTTGTTCAAAACGTTGCTTTGACGGATCTCAACACCCCTGTTATGCTTTTCAAAATTTGGTATAACTGCTCTGATAGCCACGGCCATAAGTGATAGCCTTAAGTGCAATCTGTGATGAGCCTCGAGACTCATTAGACCATTTGCTAAACGTGGTTCGTACCGGAAGCTACTTGCACTTATAAAAATCTACCTACCCCTCTCTTCCCCGCGCGCCTGGCCCCTGCGTCGGCGACAATGGCCTGCGAGAAAAAGGCGGCCGCCGCGCGCCGAGAACCCGACCCTATTAATTACGCTTCATTAACCATTTCACCGTCACGCTAGGATTCGTCCAATTTTCAAAAAAATTGTTTCGCGTGTACTTAGCAATTTTTTTCTTACTCTCCGTTAAAACATGAATTAAAAGAGGTCTCATTCATAAAAATCGTTTGAATAGAAGAGAAGTTACAGTATTCGAAATCTGAAGAAATCAACAAAACCTCGAATTCTCCAAACAAAAAATGAAATGAAGGGGGAAAAAAGAAATGTATAAATTACAATTAGATAAAATTGACCTCAGAATTTGACAAGCAATTCCATTATATAATGGAGAAAAAATTGGGAGTAATTACAAAAAATTCGCCTCTTGCAAGGGGCTTCCTTGTAAGAATTTTGACCTGAAGACAAGGGTCAAATAGCAACAGTACTCCATACAATACACAGTGTGCCTCAACGAGTTAAACATGTTTTATATATCCAAATCGAAAATTTTCTATATTTTTAACTACAGTGTCTCTTGAGTCGTTTAAGCAAAAAAAAAAATCCGTCGAGATTCGGGAACGTAAAGGCGCTTTAATAGTATTCTGGGACTATAATAGCTAAATCACCCGTAGTAAATCCCGTTATATTATTAAAAAGAAATTGACTCCATAGTTTAATGCCTTAGTTTCTTAAATACGATTATTTTAAGCACTCAAACATTTATACCACCAGTTTTAGCCATGAGGTGATTTCCTGAGAGCCGATAATATCACGAATTTCTCATAGAACCCTTCAAAAATGGCTTGCTCTTTGGGTAGCCGATTCGGCCATCGAACCGGGGTTTAAAGGAAAGCTGATAATAACACAAACCTTTGCTCTGAGAAAAATTTTGAGATAGACATGGATTCTGTTCAGCATATCGATGCATAAGCATTTTCACACGTAGAATCTAATTTTCACATCAGGGAGTGGACATATTTTGATTTTTTTCGATTTTATACGGAAAATTGATGGTTCTTCGGGATTGAAATTACTTGTAATTGTTTCTTGAAAAATAAAGGCACCCAAAATGGCTATAACATATTGACTTTAACATATGTGCACTCACGAAATTGATTCGTAAATTCAGCGAGTGGGTACATCGACCTGGTATATCAAGTTTCTGCGATATTTTACGGCAAATCGGTAGATTTTCGGGATGTAGATTTCTTACTTTCAATTCATGAATGAAGAAAGCATAGACATGGTTGAACTGCTTTCCATGGAAAGACGTTTAAAGTAACAAAATCAAGACATATTTAAAGCAATTGCATTTATATCGAGTCAATTTCTTTTCAACAGGAAAAGGTTCTTTTCAGGTTTTCTTTGTATAACAGGATTTTTACCGGTGATTTGGGTATTTTAGCCCCAAAATACCTTTAAATCGACTTTATCTTCTAGGAGTTCAACAGAATTTTTCCTATCTTCGCTTAAATCATTCCGCAGCACTTTTCTTCAAGAATCTGATAAGATTTTGCTTCAGGCAGATCAAAAAACTTAAATTCGTTTGAATAGCTTTCTACATTCACAATATACGGTCTCGTCAAGGTGCGTTGTTGAAGTGTTGGATCGTGTGAATTCTCTTGTTGTGCTACTTGCCTATTTTGAAATCTCTGTAAATGAAAACTAAAGGGGTTGATATGTGCGAGTTAATGACGCGCCTTATCAACACATTGTGTCGGAGCTCACTGCTTGTTTCTGTTGATGAAGGAGAAGTTCCGATTTGGGCCGAAATCGGCCCCTCCACGGAATCAGAATTTTTTTTTGATATTTGGCAGTTGACGATGCATATTTTACAGAAATAGTCAACTTTCGCCGATACTCACAATTTTTGGCTGCAAAATAGGGGCCAAAACATGTCTCCGGAGCCCAAAATCAGAGACTGCATATGATATGCTTCGATAGTTCATAAAGGCACGTATCCCGTCAAGTGTCGAGAGGCCGGATCGATTCATCGCGGACACTGGCTTCAAATCTGAATGGGATTCCCCTTTCTTTTGTTCTGCGATCAGAACTCAGGTAGATGGTTGCGATGGGCCAGCAATGCGGTTGAAATCTTGACATTTGAGGGATCGATCCGGGCGTGATCATCAGATCCTTAGTTAAATACCATTGCTTGGCAATGATATACAAATCCATGCGGTCGATAGCATTCTCCGATGTTCGCTAGTGAAATCCAGTCTTTGGAGTTAACTAGCTGGCCCCGGCAAGTTCGCTCAACATATCCGATATTTGAATTTGCCGCGTAAATCAGACTACCGCTACCTCGCTACGCGGCGCTTCCATTCCTACTGCGTTATCTATTCTAACTATTATTACAATCCTACTATTTTTCTCCTTCTTCTTCTTCTTCTTCTTCCTCCTCCTTCTCTTCTTCTCAAATGATCTTCGCATCGAGAAACTCGTAAATTTTAAACAGACAATTTCAAGAAAAATTGTTTAAAAGTAGTTCTAATAAAACCCCTTTTACTGTGCAATTTTGAAACATTATATGAATAATTAAAATTACATCAGTAAAGAAATT